TTAATATTTCACAAGATTTATATATATGTGACCAACATTTTTATATTTCATAAAAAAACTCATAAAAATATTGTAACATAAATACACATCGTGCGGGTTTAACATCTAGTATATTACTACTATCAAATTGGTTTGCAGCAATTTGGACTAGATTTTTCAAAATTAGAAACTCAGTCCAAACCACCTAATAAGACCCAAAAAGGAGCTACCCACATAGACAAGCCCAAGAATTAAAAAAAAATCATAACCCAGATGCATCATCCTCCAGGTCAAGTACTCAACCAACAAAAGAAATTATCCATCAACCCATTAAAGAGTCAAACAAAAGCACTACCATTCCAGAACTAGATGTTCAGATCAAATCCTTTGTCCCAGGTTCCGATTATTCTAACAATAAAACAAATGGTCAAGCAAAAGGTTCCACGATGTGATATCAAAAAAAGAATACCCTTAGAACTCCCCCAATCCATAACCCTAACAGTGAGATATATGAAATAATTGGGTCGGGTTTGGAGTATTCAATTCCAATAGAAGGTGGAAAGAAAAGGAGCCGAATAGTGCCAAATCTCAAGGACATTCCCCCTAATCAAGAGTCAAAGACAGTGGAGCATAAGCCACCCGCTGCTGATCATACAAGCCAGACCATTTCGACCGTCGACAAGGATAGGTCAGAGCATCCGGAGCTAGGACAGCAGGTAGAGATGATTATTGCTCCAGTATTGATTGAGGAGACAATGACGGATGTGGCTATGCCAGAAGTTGAAGACTCGGCTCCCCGGAGGGAGCTAGGTAACACGTATTTTTTTCAGTCCATTATTTTTTCAATTATTAATTTAATGATAGTTTCTTGGAATGTACAGGGTGCTAGAGCTTAGAAATTTCGCTCTGTGCTGAAAAACATAATAAAAAACATCGACTTGAGATTCTGATAATACTTGAGCCGCGGATCAGTGGTGAAACAGCGAGAGGGATTATCAGCAAATTGAGATTTTCTAACTGGTTTATTGAAGATGCCGTGGGTTTCTCGGGGGGTATTTGGGTTCTTTGGTGAGATAATGAAATCTAGATAAATATATTGGCTTCGTCGAAACATTGGGTTCATTTTCACTGGGCAGGACAATCTAATTCAGGATTGTGCACGGCAGTATATGGAGCTCCAGCATTGCAAATGAGGAAAACTTTATGGCAGGACTTGATGGAGATAAGTAGGAGAACAACTAAACCTTGGATAGTTGTAGGCGACTTTAATACTTATTTTTCTTCTGATGAAAAGATGGGTGGTGTTGCTGTTAATCTAGCTAAATCTAGAGAATTCCATAATTTCTTACATGTAAGTGGTTTGAGAGACCTAGGGTATGTTGGGCCAAAGTTCACCTGGACAAGAGGTAAACTCCAGGAGCGGCTCGATCGTGCTCTCTGTAATGCAGAATGGAAATTGAAATACCCAGATAGCTCCATGCACCATCTCTGCAGAATTAAGTTAGACCAGCGTCCAATTCAAGTGAGATTAGATGGGAACCTAACACCTTCAATGGAAGATCGACCTTTTCGATTTCAAGCGTGTTGGCTTTCACATGCACATTTTGAACCTTTTATTCAACGCTCTTGGCTACAACAAGTAGGGTTCAAGGAAGCAGAATCGGACCTTCGAGAGAAGCTCACAGTGTGGAATAAAAAGGTTTTCGGGACCATATTTGCTCGGAAAAAGAAACTCACCAACAAATTAGAAGGGCTAGATAGGCGCCTGGAATCCAAAGGGCCTATTTCAAAAACGCAGACGAGCACAATTGGAATTGGAGGAAACACTGGCACAAGAAGAGGTATTGTGGTTCCAAAAATCCAGAACCAATTGGCTACAATTTGGGGACAAGAACACACGGTATTTCCACCTGAGTACTATGGCAAAAAGGCCTAGAGGGAAGATCCAAAAATTAAGAAACGAGGAAGGACAATGGGTTGAGGATCAATCACAGCTCAAGCAAATGGCGATTTCTTTTTACAGTAAGCTATTTTCGGAGGAAAATAGTCAACATTGGCAGCTAGAATGAGAACCTAGGTTCAAGCAACTAAATGAAGCCGAAAAGACTGCACTATCCAAACCAATCAATGAGGACGATGTGAAGAAAGCAGTCTTCGGAATGGGCCCTTATAAAGTGTCGGGCATGACGGCTGGAGCTCGATCTTTTTCCAATCTCAGTTGGTAACTATTGGGGAGACAGTGACAGGATTGGTATCTAGTTTTTTTGCAACAGGCTCTCTCCCCGAAGGCATAAATGATACCTTGATTGTTCTCATCCCCAAGATTAGTAACCTGTGAATTTATCCCACTTCAGACCTATAAGCCTCTGCATTGGGAAGCTGGTAGGTCAGACGCAAACTAGCTTTGTTCCAGGCCAAAAGCTCGCGGATAATACAATCATTATACAGGGAGTGGTTCACTCAATAAAGTCAAAAACGGGGGAAAAAGGTTGGATGGCAATCAAGATCGATCTAGAGAAAGCTTATGATAGATTGAGATGAGAGTTCACTGAACTAGCTATGTTGAGTGCTGGTCTTCCGAGCATGATAGTAAACAGAATTACGACTTGCTTTTCATCATCAAAAATGAAAATATTATGGAATGGGGGTGTCACTAAGGAGTTCAATCCTTCCAGAGGAATCCGGCAGGGAGATTCTCTTTTCCCTTATATCTTTGTATTGTGCATGGAATTATTGGCTCATGGTATTGAAATAGCTGTTGAAAAGAATGAATGGAAGGGCATTAGGTTTAGCAGAAATGGTTCTAAAATATCTCACTTATTTTTTGAGGATGATTTATTTCTATTTACAGAAGCCTCTATTGAACAAGTGGAGGTGATCACTAATGTTATGGAATCTTTTTATAGGGCATCTGGGGAGAAAGTAAATGCACAAAAAATGAAGATTTTCTTCTCCAAGAATACTCCCTGACAATTGCAAAACTCCATCATCAGTAGATTAGGTTTTGGGGTCACAAATAACTTGGATCGGTATCTGGGGTAACCTGTTATACATGGAAGGGTAACCAAATATACATATAAGGACACAGTGGATAAAGTTAGATCGAAACTTTCTGGTTGGAAAGCCTACCAATTGTCCTTGGCGAGTAGAATCACATTGGCCCAATCGGTGTTACAATCAGTTCCTATGTTTCAAATGCAATCAGCTAAGTTACCAGCCCACGTCTGTGATGCACTTGACAGAGAGGTTAGGAATTTTTTTTGGGGCTTAACTAAAGACAAAAGGAAGTTACATCTTGTGAACTAGGATATAGTATGTGATAGGAAGGAGAAGGGTGGACTCGGCCTTAGAAAAGCAAAAGAAAATAACATGGCTTTCTTAGCAAAATTAGGCTTGGAAGTGTTATCCAAGGGTGATGCTTTATGGGTTCAGCTTCTAAGGGCAAAGTACTGCACGACAATTGATGGCAGGCTGTGCTTAGTGGGGAAACAAAACTCAACCCCAACTTGGAAAGGTATATGTGATGCGTTTCACTTAGTGGAGAAAGGCCACTTGGGCTGTGGGTGATGGAAAAAATAGTAAAATTTTTTAGTGATAATTGGTTGGAGGGTTTTGGCATCCTTGCCAATCATGTTACAGGTCCAATTACATTTGCAGACGGGGAAGGATCGATCTCTGATTTCTGTTTCTTGGATGGCAGCTGGGAATTGAGGAGGATTTCAGCATGTCTCCCACCTAGCTTTGTTGAGAAAGTCCAGAGCTTACCACCACCAATGGAAGTACTGGGTTCAGATCAACCCTGTTGGTTGTTCAATAAAACGGGTAAGTTTTCTGTTAAATCCGCATATTATTTGGCAATTGACAACCCTATTTTGCAGGAAGATACTAGCTAAAAGGTGGCTTGGACTTGGAAAGGTCCACAGCAATTCAAAACATTCCTATGGCTAGCATTCCATGGTAGACTAGCAACAAATGAGCTATGTAAATCCAGGGGTGGTGTCCAATCAGAGAGCTGCTCTTTTTGCAATGGAGTGGCTGAAACAACATTACATGCATTAAAGGGACTGCATTTTTACTAGAGCAGTCTGGGAAAGAATCTTGATGAACAACGATCGAAGGCACAATTTTTTCAGCCTATCTCTAAAGGAGTGTCTGAAGAATAATTTAGCAGGAAAGGGAAGTGGCTGGTCAAACTTGTTTGGAATGGCAGCATGACTACTATAGACATGAAGAAACCACCGGTTGTTTAATGGAACTTCTGTTGAATTGAATGAGGCAGTAAAAACCATAAGATTGAAAGCTGCTGAAGTATCTCGAAGTCAGATTTACATGAAGTGGAAAAACAAAGTTTGTAGGGATGAAAAAGCCAGATGGAAGGCACCACCTAAGTCCTGGGTAAAAGTAAACTGTGATGCGGCTGTTAGCAAAGAGACCAGTCAAGCTGCGGCTGAGGGTTTAATTCGCAATGAGGCAGGGGATTGCATCCAGGCCTTTTGTGAGAATATTGTTCCCTGTTTGGTCGGCACTGCTGAAATTGTTGCAATAAGAAGGAGCTTAGAGCTGGCAAAACAAAAAGGTTTTAGGAGACTTATTGTGGAGTCAAATTCTGAAGTGGCCCTAGGTTTGGTGAAAAACTTAGGGGATCAAACCAATTTGGATCCTGACTTAAGAGGCATACAAGACCTATTAAGGCAAGATTGGATTGTGCAATTCTCTTATATATTTAGAGAGAATAATATATGTGCAAATGCCTTGGCGAAACAGGCATTAAACAAGAATCGGGGATTATATTTTATTGATGTTGGCCCACATTTTGTAAGTATGCTAGTAGAGCACGATCGTTTAGGCAGTAGTATATGTAATAGGTAGTTCAAGTGTTATATTATCTTTGTTGTTAAAAAAAAAAAAATGTATGGATGCACTGTATGTAAGAAATACTAAAAACAAATAATATCACAAACAACTGTAATTAAGGAGCTTTTTTTCAAAAAAAAAAGAAAAAAAATCGAAATTGCTATACACGCTGATGTCTGGAGTAAAGGGCGTAAGATCAAACTAAATGAGGTATAGTTGTGTTGCTTCATCATTTTGCTGTAACAAAAAGATGTAATTAAATTACTAATAAAAAATGAAAAAAAAAATTTATGCAAGACTTACCCACTCAATAAAAATTGATATAAATCTTTATTGTAGTTGCGGAAAAGCTTAAGACCGAAGACTTAAATAGTTCCAGTATCACACAGAACCCTGATAAAGAAAAAAATAAAATAAAACACAAGAAAAAGACATGCAAGTGCAAACCAACAAAAATTTACACCAGAAAAAATGGAGTATTCAAAATAGAGAAAATGTTTCTAGCTGGCAACTCAATCGAATATCACTCTTATAAATCATATATTCCTTCCGTCTCGAAATTATTGTCTAGTTTGATTTTTATTTTTAGTATAAATTAAACAAAAAATAAAAGTACAAATTGAATAATCATTCTGGGCAGAGGAAGTAGTTAAGATTATGAATGGAACAAAAAGAATGAAATTTCGAGAAACGGCTAATAAAGTTTCACACATGAAAAATGCTATAACTCGCGCGTCCGATTACAACAAGATCAACCTAAATTGTAATGTACCTATATATTCTCGCGAAAACATTAGAAAAAGTTTTTTCTCCCTATTTCGTATTAAAATGTCATCAAAGGTACACGATTACACTGCTAAAATCCACCAAAAATCATTTCCAAAACCTATAATATTGTTTGTGCCTTATATTGCGGTTCAATGTGAAACATTAATGATTATCACCACTCTTTTTTAATGATTACCACCCTATGGTTATGAACAATGAGTCAATACACACACACACTATAAATATATATATATATATATATATATATATATATATATACTTGAATTATTTCTTAAACAATATCACAAAGCACAATACAATATCACAGTCCAAAATATTTCTATTTGTTTGAACTACGATATTGTTTTGAAAATGTTAAGAAAAAAAAATTCGTCTAAATCAAGCCAAAACACACCAAAAAATAAAAAATAAAAAATCCCACAAGCAAACAAAACGAGAAGTCTCAAAGCTCAACAACCAATCGAAAAACTTTAAAAAAAAAAAATTAAGCCCATTTAGCCAATAGAGACATACAGCCAGCACCAAAAAGAAGAGAAATGTTGCATCCAATTTGAAGTTTCCCATTATTTTGGAGCTTTGGGTTCATGAAATCAGCTGAGAGAAGGTCCACCAATGCCATGTAAATAAGAATACCAGCTGATGCTGAATCAAATACTCCTTGCACAATCAAAGCATTAGGGCTTTTCTCATTGTAGACATTGGCTATTCCAATCCCAATTGCAATCCCAACTGGTGTTGTCAATGAGAAAAATATTGCCATCACTACAATGGCTTGCACCTTGAATTTTGCCTACAATAATGAACCCAAGAAAACGATAAATCATCCATAAATATACTCATTAAATCGAAATACGTGATTTATTTGCAAAATCATAGTAGATACGAAGCAATTTAATTAATTGAGCCATTTCGATCAAACTCAAATTATGGTATGTGAGATGTATATAGCGGATAATTGTACCTGAGTGATGCAACCACCAAGGCCAATACCCTCGAAGAACTGGTGAAATGTCAATGCTGCTAATAAGGGTTTAATTGTTTTAGGACTATTATTTGCGCCTAAAGCAATACCAATGATGACTGAATGCACGATAATTCCCAACTCCAGAACCTGTTGTCAACAAAAACCAACGTAACAATAGTAGATTACTTATTTCATATGGCTCAAACCAAGATTGTAACTCTCCGAAGTCCGACGGACATATAGCTCGCGTATTGTTGCATTACATTCTAACTATTATTTTTAATATATAATTATCCCGAAAGAAAGCTAAGAAAATAATAAGTAAAAGAAAGAAAAAAAAAATCATGAAGTCCATTCATGTACTATATAAATATATATATATATATATATATATATATACTTCTTTTCCATCAAGCAATGGAAATATTTTTAAGAATTAAAAGCAGGTTAGTTTAATACGTTGGATGCATTTATAATAGCCATAACATCAACATAACTCCTCCTTGTAGTTGTCGCAACTTGCAAGAATTGAACTATAATATGGATCTGAAGCCAGTAAATGTACGGATGACCTATATATAGAGTGTTCTTGCCAGAGAAATTAATTTAACGAATTAAAATAAACAGGAGCTAAGTTTCTTTTAAATTTAAAGATAAAGAGATCAGACTATTCTAATCAATAAATAGACTATTGATCTGAGACGAAATAAAATACCTGTGATATTACACGATATCGAAGTTGAGTAGTGACAGAATCAGCTGGAACGGAGCCATGTGCATGGCCATGAGTGGCATGCGTATGAAGCGGAAGAACAACTCCATCGGCATCTTCCGCCACCGCAACCACCGCCTGATTACTCTTCTCACCGGACTTATTCCGGTAATGAGAAGTCGCGTACACATCAACCATAAGCGTCCCAATACTGGCAACCATGGCCACGAACCCCGTAAACGGGAAATTCCCCCAAGGATTCTCCGGAAGACAAGGGGAAGTCAGACTCTCGAATGCATCCGGAAGTACGTGAATGAATCCGGTGGCCAGAATCACCCCGGCCGCGAAAGATTTGACGACGAAAAAAAGGTTGCTTTCCGTGCTGAGAGCCGGAACGGTGTTTTTACCTAGGATGGGAATGCAAACGCCGATCAAACTGGCAAGGAAGATTGAAGCTATGGCGCTGTATTTGTATTTCAGGGCCAAACCCTTGTTATGATCTTCAGCTCCAGTACCGCATGAGTCGTCTCCAAAGACTAGGGTTGGGAATAGTGTCAATAATGCGATGAAGGAAATGGAAATGGCCTTTTGGGTTTTGGATTTCGATGTGAAAATCAAGAGATTCGTTGCCATTGTTGAAGTGATGATGATGAAGAGATTGTGACAACAAACCAATCTAATTTGAAAAAAATATACGTCATATAACACGAGAGTACTATATATGATTGGAACGCAAAAGAAGTTTTGTAGATTTGTTTGAGGTTTATATAGCTATTTATGCACCAAAAATATTAGGCAATTAAGTTTGAAAGGGAATGTGAAATTGGGTATGCCATGGTGAAGTCAATGGTAAGGGAACTTGCCGTCACGATTTTGGATTGATATATGCAGAAACGGAGGAAAGAGTTGGGAAGAAAACAGCTCAACACAAATTAAAGGGAGATCTAACATGATGAGGACACCATATGTCTTTGTTTCCTATATTTGGTGGAAATATATACTATTTCTCCAAAAAAATAGTCAATGTTGATTTTTGTGATTTGTACAGTGTTTTTTTGGAACTGGAAGGTCTATAGCAAATGAAATTTGAAGGAGATTTTAAGCGTGAAGAATTTACAAAATTAAGAATAAAGAAAAGAAAAGTTTTAAAAAGTAAATACGGAAGGAAGTCAAAGAGGAATGTAGTAAGAATGTCGACATAATAATTCTTGGGAATTAGTCAAATTGATCGATCACTATCTTTTGTATTAGTTCAAACCATTGGGCCAAATTAATTTAATATAGCATGAAACAATTTTAGTAATAAACAATTAAATCAAATACTGATAGTGTCTCTATCAGAAAATTTTAAGTCGTTTATCATTTCTATTTTTTGTCTCATTTATTTTTCTGGTTCTTAATTCAAATCCAAGTTACTTATAAATTTTTGTTCTCTCTTTTAAGTTGGGTTTTCGGGTTTTTCCGCATTTCTTCAGATAGCTTCCCAACCAATGGAATTTGCTTTATCGTTTTTAAATTTCTGAACATTTCTACTCGACGCATACATGTCCAGAACTTTCCCTTTACATGAAATTTATATATATTCTAAGAACTTGTCAATGCTCTTAATTTATGTTCAAAGTATTTGTCAATTCTAAGTATCTGTCACCGAGATTAAAATAGAGTGCTGCTCACCATATTTTGCATTATGGTATACATTTCTTTTATTTTTTCCGAACAGATAATATTGCTGACAAATTCTTCCTTGCGCGGGCTAGGTTGTACGGATTGTATATTAAAACTTATCAATTAACAAATCGACCTTAGCTAACAGTTCCCCTTGGGGTCAGTTTACCCCCACTGATTTCTTAACAAAGATTTGTTAAGTACTCTCCAGTCCTAAATATAAGACATTTTGATTTGTTTTAGTTTTCATCTAATACGCATTTTTAATTGACAAAAAAAATAATCAATTAAAAATGCGTACTATGTGAAATCTAGGATAAATCAAAATATTAAGGACATGAGGGAGTACAGTTTTCACTAGGTACTAGTTGGAATTTATTTTGTAACTTTAGTAAATAATTATACTGTCCGTCACATATATCAACAACTATTCAAGTAATGTCATGAGCTGTGGAATATGGGGATCAATTTTGTAAAGGAATTCTATCAATTCATTGATCAGCTGATTAGATTTAGTGTGTTGATTTTATACTTTCTCTATCTCAAAATTATTGTCCAGTTTAGATTTTTATTTTTAGTTCAAATTATATACTAAATGAAATTTCAAATTGGACAATCATTTTGGACAAATGAAATATAACTCTATCTCTTGTTTTATTCAATGTACACGATATGAAAAATATATAGAAAGCGGGGAGGAAATGGTGGTTGTAGATAAAACAAATAATACTCGTGTTATGTCATACCTGTACGATTTGTTGCTGCAATATCAACGAATTAAAGATGAAAATGAGGCATCCATCATCGGAATACATAACTAATCATGATCTAGGAGACTAGTTTTGTGATCGGGGGACTGCTTTGTGATTTACTTTAAATAGTTAACGGACTAGTCTGCACTCTATTGTAAATATAAGACTTCAACTGTACAGTTGACTTTTCTTTATCATTAATTATGTCGGTTCCAAGTCAGTCAGGTTAGAAAGATTAATTTGTTTGTCACGTTATAATCGTCATTAGATCAATAATACAAAAGTTTCCTCCAAATTTGTTTTGTTATTTATCCATGGAAGCCATAATGGAAACCCTAGCGGAGCTTTTCACCATGACACAATTTGTTTTGCTTCGCAACAAGAGTTCCAAATTCTGCTTGCTTTTACGATAGAATTTTGATTAAAAAAAATGATTATAAAGACAAACATAAAATCCGATATAAATTCATGTGTACATTTCGTGTGGGGAAAGAACACGAAAGAAGCACAAAACCAAATGGAAGACTAGTTAATTAATCAGCTAGCTAGCTAGACTCCATGCATGATGAATCATGGTTCATTTATTTAATTCATATAAAATGTTGGGGGTTATCAAGCTTGATAGTACTGGCCAACTGTGTAAATAGTCTGAAGTATGGTGCACCCAAACAAGAAAATGGCAGCGAAAAGAGATATCATAGACCATGGATTCCTGAAGTAAGTAACCAAAAGATTGGCCCGCCACCGGTTGAACGGTCTTTGGTAATGGCTCGAAACCCGCCAGTCATAAGAAACTGCCCTCTTTTGTTGAATCCATAGGGCACTAACTGAAGCGAGGGGAGCAATGCCATTGGCGAGCGATCTGAAAAATTGGGTTACAAACTGATTACGATCGCTCCCAAATGGAACATAAACAATTTCGCGATCGCACAAAAGTTGAGCATCCTCAGGATCCTGAATCAGGTTGGCCATGAACGCCACGTACGAGGATACCTCGTTGCCGGACCCCACATGCAAGTGTTCGAAGGCTAGGAGGTTTAGAAACAAAGATTCAGAAGTATCATCAAGAACTATTATAGGGAGCCTTAGGGTTCCCCGGTGGAATGATATGCCTATAAGACATCTGCTCTTGCTTCGCCTGATTCGGATACCCGATTCGGAAAGACGTGTTGCTGAAGCAATCTTGGGGGTTGAATGAAGAAATTGTTTGCGATTCTACTTCAGTTTCTGTACTGTCCGCCGGAATCTCCCATATGTATTTCCGGTTTACATCCAATACATGCATACATTTTCCCGTAAGTTGGTTTTCCGAGAGCCCAAGAATTTCAGTATGAGGTTGTTGATGTAATCCCCGCGGACTCATGATCTTCTTCCTACATTGATCCAAATCAAAGTTTTTGGTGCCAACGTTAAGACCATGGATAAATATGATCAATGAATCCAAAGCAAGAGATTTTTGCTATAAAACTGGTGTGCTATGTGACTTTTTCTTGTTCATAATGTTTTTGGATTGCTCATGTTATCGATGTTTTCGTACCATGACCTAATTAATGATGGTTTCGACCTAATTCCGACACAAGTTATTTATTCTAGTGGTTTAAATTTCCCCTTGCCTCAGAATGAAATTGTCCAATTTAAAATTTTCATTTTTAATACAAATCATACACATGTGCAATGGTTTCATTTTCTTGTGACGTTATCATATCATTCCTTTTCTTTTTCTTTTTTTGGTATAACAAATGAGGCAAATACTTAGAGTTCTAAGTAGTTACAGCACGTTCGTAAGATACACCAACGAAATCATATTGAATCCAAGTTTTAATGACATTAGGATGTACATCTAGCCATTGTAAACTGTCGGAACTATCCATTGCTAACGCCGTTAGGAAATCGGAGATGAAACTTAACTCTCGGTATATATGATTTAACTCCACCACCCATTCTCTCTACAAAAGATCACGGACCCTGGTGATGGTCATTCCTTTTTTAAGCACCAATACTAATAGTGTGGGACCTTTTTATTTTTTCCAACAACATGAAAAATATCGATCGTAGATGGTCTTTTCAGAGTGTTTTAATGCTAAATATATATCATACTTTTTTCAATAAATATATCTATACAACAATGAACGAGATTCTAACTATCAATATGTCTATGGTCTTGGGTCATTATTAATACTATTATTTAGAATTTAGCTATTTAGCTATTATGGTCTTGGGTCATTTTTTTTTATGTATGTAGGACAACTTTGGAGTTCCCACACAAAACCAATCGGTTAAGAGTGGATAGGTCCAAGCATCTTTATATGGGTTAAAAGAGGTTAGAAGGCTGATGTGGGATTATTTATTAAATTGTATTTAAGGGCAAATGAGTGCATACATCCTATTATTTACACTAGTTTATTAATTCATCCTAATATTTTAAAATTGATTAATTACGTCCCAAGATTATCAAATTGGACAAATTCATCCTACTACCTGCAAAATAACAAAAATGACCTGATATAACATGTGAAAATCTATTGGATCTCATATTTATCCTTTTTTGTCATTTTTTATTTTTTTGTCATTTTTTAGTTCATTAAAAAACAAAGAAAATTTCTAGATTTAAAAAACCTAAAAAACTTAATTAAATAATAAAAATAATTTATTCATCAGAAATGAAATAACTTACAATTTAGAATAAACTCAAAATTAATTATTTTTTGAGTACAAAGATATATATACATATATATATATATATGAAATCTTAATCATTCTATTGTTTCACTCAAAATAAAGAATATTTTTTTGGGAAAGTTTCTTAAGTTTTATAAAAACAAAATTTAAGATGAATTAGATTAAGAAAAATATTATATTCATTAGAATAAATTAAAGGTTTTAGTTTCTCCATTTATAAATGTTGTTTGTCTTTCCATAAACTAAAGAAAATTTTAAAAATTCAAAAAAACAGAAGCAAAAATGTTAAATACGTGATCCAAATGATTTTATCCTTTATACCAGGCCAATTTTATTGGTTTGCAGGTCATGAGATAGACTTGCTCAATTTTGATAATCTTGAGACGTAATTAACCAATTCTAAAACTTTAGGATGAATTCGCAAATAAAATATAAACGCTGGATATATACACTAATATTACCTATACTAACTATGTCAATAATACTGCTCTTAAGTTCGATTCATTTTTAGTATACACTACCAAAAAAATAAGTTAAACTAAACAATTATTAACCACAGAGAGAGTATAATCGAAACCAAACCTGGGGATGATGTTTCTCGAACATTAACTCGTTGAGAAGCAACATGGGCAACTGATTTTCAACAATCAACATGTCACGCTTTATGTGATCCATAATGTCGATCCCCCCGAGCCTGCTGAAGATGGGATCATTTTTGGCATAATAGTCATGATCCAATGTTAGACCATCATTATAATAATTGCTTCCGACCCTTAAAACTTCAAGCATGAAACATCCATCCCTCATCTTCAGTTGCAAGAATGTATCATCTTGATCCCACTTTAGA